ACATAGAAATATACAACTGAAATGACAGAGAATTCAGGATGGTACTTCTGAAAAAACTCAGTGAGTTCGAAATGAGTCATATAACAATTTCAGGAATTGAAAAAAACAATTAGATATGCAGAGCAAGGAGACTGAAACTCTCAAAAAGAACAGAATAGATCTTCTGGAGATAAAAAAACACACTGGAAGAGTTGAAAAATGAAATAGCAAGTTTGGGAAATAGAGTCGACCAAATGGAGGAAAGAATCAGTGATATCGAAGACAAAAATCTAGAAATAAATCAGAAGGAAGAAGAGAGAAACCGAAGAATGAAAAAGAATTAAAGAGAAATACAAAAACTAGCTGATACCATCAGGAGAGGAAACATAAGAAAACTGGGCATTTTCGAAGGGTAGAAAAAGGAGCAGGGATTAGAAAACATTTTCAGACAATAGTTGACAAGAATTTCCCAAATTTTAAGAATGAGCTAGAGCTTGGAATTCAAGAAGTCGACAGAACACCCAATTATCTCAACCCAAAAGGCCTTCACCAAGACACATCGTACTAAAATTATCAAAAGTCAATGACATAGACAGAATTCTCAAGGCGGCCAGGGAGAAAAAAACGGTAACTTATAAATGTGAACCCATTAGATTATCTTTGGACTTCTCAGCATAAACCTTACAAGTCAGAAAGGAAAGGAATCAAGTATTTAAACTATTAAGCGAAAGGACCTACCAGCTACTAGCCAAGAATAATGTATCCAGCAAAGCTCTACTTTAATATAAAAGAGAAATGAAGATCTTTCCAGACATATAAAAATGGAGAGAATTCACTACGAGGCCTGCATTACAGGAAATACTTAAAGGGGTCAGCTCACCTAAAACAAAATGACCAAAAAAAGAGTAAGGCGACTAGCAGGCAGATAGAAGCAGAGGATTGCAACACTTACGAAGAACAGGGCTTTATAAGCTTAAACAATAAGAAGAGATTTGCTATAGCAAAATAATATTGAATGTTCAGCATACATAGAGACAAACTGAGACAACAATGACTGAAAAGGAGAGGATTCGAAGATTCAAATTCACAAAGGGAAATGGAGATACGGCTCACACAGAAGAAAATGGATGACTGTATATATACGCCTATCCTTTACATATTCTTAATGTCACACACATGCCAAAGATTCAGAACTGAAGTATATAACATAAAACAAGAAGAACCAGAGGAAAAACTCACAAAATCCAACCAAACCCCCCCCCCAAAAAAACAGACACACAAGGACAAGGAAACAATGGAAACAAAGAGCTATCAGAGAGCAAAACACATAAAATGGTTATAGGAAAACCTCATACTTCAACAATCACCTTAAATGTAAATGGACTGAACTCACCAATAAAAAGGCACAGAGTTGCAGATTGGATCAAAAAACAAAACCCAACCATACGCTGCCTCCAGGAGACACATCTCAGTTCCAAAGACAAATATAGACTCAAAGTAAAAAGGTGGAAAATGACATTTCAAGCAAATGGCATTCAGAGAAAAGCAGGAGTAGTGGTACTAATATTGGACAAAATAGATTTCAAAATGAAAAAGGTAAAGAAAGACACTGAAGGACACTTCATAATGATAAAGGGAATCATACACTAAGAAGATATAACGCTTGTTAATATCTATGCTCCCAATCAGGGAGCCCCAAAATGTATTTTAAAAATCACTAACAGAACTAAAGGGAGAAACTGATCAAAACACTATCGTAGTAGGGGACATGAATACTCCACTGTCAGATATGGACAGATCATCTGAACAGAAGATCAATAAGGAAATAACATCCTTAAATGATGCATTAAACCAACTGGATATAATTGACATTTACAGAGCCTTTCATTCCAAAACAGCTGCTTATACATTCTTCTCTGGTCCACATGGAACATTCTCAAGGATTGACCACATGCTAG